GACATCTCCTGGCTTCTCTCTTTCCCTGCCCAGCTACAGCCTCATATTGGACCATCTTAATTTACCGTTGGTTTTATTCCACTTATATATCTGCATTGCCTTTACTTTTTTTTTCTTTCTTATCCTCACCCAAGGACATTTTTTCGTTTTTTGTTCAGATAGAGTGGGAGGGAGAGAGGGAGGAACAGAGAAAGAAACATCGACGTGAAAGAGACACATCGAGTGGCTGCCACCCACATGACCCCAACAGGGGCTGGGGACAAACTGCAACCGAGGTACGTGCCCTCAGCGGGAACCGAACCCAGGCCTCTCTGGTCCATGGCCGATGCTCTAACTGCTGAGCCAAACCGGCCAGGGCTTCAATTTATTTATTTATTTTTGTAAATGATTGATTTTTTTTTTTTTTTTAAGAGAGACAGGAGGGAGAGAAACATCGATGTGAGAGAGAAACATCGATTGGCTGCCTCCTGCACGCCCCCTACTGGGGACCAAGCCCACAACCTGGGCATGTGTCCTGACTGGGAATCAAACTGGGATCTCAGTCCATGGGATGATGCTCTATCCACTGAGCCACACCAGCCAGGCCTCTTATTCACTTTAAATAAATGCTTTCTACAACCTTCATATATGCTATTCTAACTATTTAGAACTGTCCACCCAAAGACCTCCTACTTCTCATTCAAGAATGAGCAGAAATTGCCCTGGCCGGTTTGGCGCAGCGGTTAGAGCGTTGGCCTGCGGTCAGTCTACCATAATCATAAATTGTTTTTTGAAAGTGTTTATACCAATTTATTCTCCCACCAGTACTTGGCCATTGATTGGCCACCTCCTGCACACCCCCAATGGGGATCGAGCCCACACCCCAGGCAGGTGCCCTGACCAGAAATCGAACTGAGCAACCCAGGTTAGGTTCCCGCTAAGGGCACTTAACTCGGTTGCAGTTTGTCCCCGGCCCTGTTTGGGTCGTGCGGGAGGCAGCCACTCGATGTGTCCCTTTCACGTTGACGTTTCTCTCTCTCTCTCTCTCCCTCCCACTCTATCTGAACAAAAAATGGAAAAATGTCCTCGAGTGAGGATAAAAAAAAAAAAAGAATGAGCAGAAATTAACCATCAAGGGGTATAAAAATAAACCACAATGATATACTACTACACATTTGTCAGACTGGCAAAATGAAAGTGTCTGACAATACCATATTTCAAGGATGTGAAGAAAGAGAACTCTCATTTAGTACTGGTGGGAGAATAAATTGGTATAAACACTTTAGAAAAACAGTTTATGAGTACGGTAGACTGACAAATGTGCCCCAAAAAATGTCCATGGCCTAATCCCTAGAATCTGTGAGTTATCCTATGTGGCAAAAAGACTTTGCAGATGTGATTTAAGTAAGGATTTTGAGATGAGAAGATTATCCTGGATTATTTGGGTAGGCCCTAAATGAAATCACATATCTTTTTTTCTTAATGTTTTTTTAAAATTAATTTGTTGAGAGAGAGAGAGAGAGAGAGAGAGGAAGGGAGAGGGAGACAGAGATAGAAACATCGATGTGAGAATCATTGATTGGCCACCTCCTGCATATCCCCACTGGGGATCGAGCCCACAACCCAGGCATGTGCCCTGACCAGGAATCGAACTGGTGACCTCTTGGTGCATGGGTCGACGCTCAACCACCGAGCCACACCGGCTGGGCTCACATATACCTTTATAAGAGGGAACGGAAGATTTGACAGACAGGAGGGGAGGCGATGTGACCACAGAGGCAGAGATTGGAATGATGCGGCCACAAACCTAGAACTGCTGGCAGCCACTAGAAGTAGGAAGCAGCAAGGAACAAATTCTTCCCTAGAGCCTCTGAAAGGAGTGTGGGCCTACCGACAACTTGATTTTGGCCCAGTGAAACCGATTGTAGACTTCTGGCCTCCAGGATTATGAATACATTTCTGTTGTGTTAAGCCACCAAGCTTGTGGTAATTTGTTACAGCAGCCCTAACAGGCAGTATCTACCAAACATGAGCATACTTGTTTGTACCCATGTCCAGAAATCCCACTTCTAGGTATATCCCAACAGAAATGTAAGCATCTGTTCACTAAAAAAACATGCAAAAGAATGTTATAGCAGCATTATTCATAACAGCCCAAACTGGAAACAACCCAAATGTCCATCAACAGTGCAATTCATGAACTACCTGAGGAATGTTCATAAAAATGAGTCAAGTACAAATAAACACGTGGAAAAAACTCACATACACATAATGTTGAACAAAAGAAACCAGACACAACAGAAAACATTTTATGATGCCATTTATGTCAAGTGCAAAAAGAGATAAAATCAACTATATCACTGAGTGATGTAAAACTAGAAAGTTAAAGACAAGCAAGAAATTATTACTGTCGAGGTCTTGGCCGGTTAGCTCAGTTGGTTAGAGTGTTGCCCACATACACCAAGGTTTCAGGTTCATTCCCCAGTCAGGGCACATACAAGACTCAATCGATGAATGTATAAATAAGTGAAACAACAAAATCGATGTTTTCCTTTCTCTCCCCCACTTTTTCTGAATGTTATGTTAACAATTAGAAGGTATCTTGGCCCGGCCATTGTGGCTTAGTTGGTTGAACGTCAACCCACGCACCAAGCAGTTGCCAGTTCAATTCCCAGTCAGGGTACATATTGGGGTTTCAGGCTCAATCCCCAGCAGGGGGCGTGCAGGAGGCAGCCAAAAGATGTTTCTCTCATTGATCTTTTTTTTTTTAATCCTCACCCAAGGACATTTTTCCATTTTTTGTTCAGATAGAGTGTGAGGGAGAGAGAGGAAGACAGAGAAACATCGACGTGAAAGGGACACATCGAGTGGCTGCCACCCGCACTACCAACCAGGGCCAGGGACAAACTGCAACTGAGGTACATGCCCTTAGCGGGAACCGAACCTGGGTCTCTCTGGACCGCAGGCCAACGCTCCAACCACTGAGCCAAACCGGCCAGGGTTCATTGATCTTTTTCTTTTCTTTTTTTTTAAATTTTTTCCTTTATTGTTTTTTAGAGAGAGCGGAAGGGAGAGGGAGAGAGAAACATTGATGTGAGAGAGACACATTGAGTGGCTGCCACCCACACGACCCCAACCCGGGCCGAGGACAAACTGCAACCGAGGTACGTGCCCTTAGCGAGAACCAAACCCGTGTCTCTCTGGACCACAGGCCAACGCTCTAACCGTTGAGCCAAACCGGCCAGGGCCATTGATTTTTCTCTATCGCTCTCTCCCTCTCCTTTTCTTTCTCTCAAATAAAAATAAATAAAAATTTTTTTGAAGGTATCTTGGTGGTGGTGGTGGTGGTAATTGTTAATAGAGTGAACAGGGAGTTTCTCAATCCATGAAGCCTTCCTGGGTCCTTCCACTCTGTGTCCTCGGGCTCCTCCAGCCTCTGCTGCTTGTTCAGTCACTGACCACTCTTGCCTGTGACTCCCAGTGTCCCAGTCTGGCTCACCCTCAAGAACAGAAGCCAGCCCCCAGTCTAGAGTCCTCTCCGGGTCCCCAGCGAGACCAGCCTGGGCCTGGCCCTTGGGAGGCCTCAGGATCTGTGCTTCCGTGCCCCAGGAACAATGGGCCTGCTTCCTGTTTCCACCTGATGTTGTAATCAACAGGGCCCAAGTATGTCTGCCAGCATGTAGCAGCAGAGGACTGGTGACACGAGGAAGGGGTGGCTTACTTTGCATTGCCACTTACCTTTAACTCTGTCCATCTCTCACATCCCCTTCAGGAATGTTCCCTAGGGTTTAAGCAAGGAATGTCTCCTCTCTGTCATTCTGTTGAATTTCTACTCATCCTTCAAGAGCCACCTGCAGGCTCCTCTCCTCTGTGAAACCATGACCTACCTTCCTCTGAGCTCCCACAGTCCCGTCTCCCTTGGCCGCAGCATGTTCAGGGACTGCCCCACAAATCTTTCTGAAGCTCTTTGATCTCCCTGGGTTGTCCTTAAGGCCTGGGTTCTGACCCATTTCTGGGCTTCAGGGGTCTGTCGGGTCGGCACCAGGTGCACACCTGGGCAAGCCCAAGTGGGCTCCATAATGCATGCGCTCAGGGAGGCTCTGGAGGCACGAGGCATTGCCTCAGGGTTCCCACCACTTGGCACACACGGTGCCTGCCCGCGCTCCTAAGGCCTCTAAGTTAGAATCCCTTAATTCTGGCATGCACGTGCCAGCTGCAGTGTGAGGCTACCACAAAGGGAACCTGAGGAAAGGGGTCAGGTGTGGGAGGGGCCTCAGGAATAGGGCGGGGCTGAGGCAGGCTGTGGGGCTTGTAGCATAGAACTGAAGCAGAGGGCAAGCCTGAACCTTGTCCACTAAGGAGGCTAGTGGGGCTCATCATTCACTAGAGGTGAAGAGCCAGGCACCATGGCCTGAGGGATCCTGGAATCTAGCCCAGCCAACAGGCAGCAACTCCCATCTTTAAGTAAAGATGCTCCAAGCAGAGTCCCAAATATGAGAAGGTCCTGAAACTAAAGCCTACTTCCACACAAGCCAAGGAGAGGCCCCCAGCTCAAGGGATGGAGGAGAAGCGCAGAAGCTCCCATCTCCCTCCCCAACCTCGCTTGGTCCACTGGAGGGGCTGCTTTCCATCTCAGTGCTGCTCCGTTATCCCTCAGGCAAGTTACTTCCCCTCAGAGCCCATTTCCAGTCCAAACGGTAAAACCCCTACTTCACACAGGGAGCTGAATATTAAATAAATCTTGAGTAGTTACCCAGTATACCTTAGCTTCCTCCGAGAGGATACAGTGACAGTAAGGGGTCATACAGCAACTAGCTGGACCAGGTCTTGACTCCTGGACAGGACAACTCCTAAAACTGCCACTTTATCCCCCAGATCAAGGGTCCTGGACAGGTTCCCAGGTGCAGGCAGGTCCATCCCTTCCCCCAGGAAAGGCCAGCAATTGGAATCCCTGCCCACCCCACAATCCCTGCCCACCCCACCCCCAGCTTCCCTTCCCCATCAGGAAGGAAAACCCTGGGTATTGTGTAAGAAAACTTGAGTTCCTAAGCCCATAAACAAGGGATGGGGCAAGAACAGGAAGCCACAACCTCCTGCAGCCACAGAGTGGAAGAAAGACGTGTCAGGAAGAGGAGTAACAGAGATCCAGATTTGAGGGGACTGTCCAGAAGGTGTGATAGGTGAGGAACCACATGCAGAGTATCTAGGCAGAGAAGTCTGGCTGCTGCTGTTTGGTTTCCAAACCTCTGAGCTCTGTCAGCCTTGCTAATAGCTGGCCCATGTCACTGAACAAGTTAAAAACACTGGCACTCCCAACGAGCAAAGCATGTGCAAATAGGGCTAGGAGTATTTGTGATTCCAAGGCAGTATTTCCTTAGACAGATGAGGAAACTGAGGCCCAGAGGGGAAAGCAAGCCTGTGGTAGCAACGGGCAGATGCTCTATCATCCTGCTCATGCACTGGCCTGATACTTGGCCAGGAACTCCAAGATTGGTACTAGGCCCAGGCTCTCATCAGCTCCTTCCTCCAGCCCATTAAGAAAGAGTCCCAGGGAGCCTTGATGCCCACCTATGCCCCTTCCAGGGCAGTTTATTGGTTCCATTTGTAAAAAGACCTTTCCCATCAACCTTCAAGCCTTTGCCTTTCCGTTTCTGAGAAGGCGGTTGGCTTCTGGTCCTGGCCCCATGGGCAACAGCATACTTGGTCTGATAATGCTGGCAACACACGTGTGACACTCCAAGTGCAGTCTTTGTGCAAGTCCACATCCAGCTCTGGGGAGCAGGAAAAGGTGAAGGGCCAGGTCTGTGTGGAAGGTGGGCAGAGCCCTGGTTGGCTGTACAGATGTGTGGGCAAGGCGAGCAGACCCCGTATGTGCCCCAGCTCCAGTGCCTGGTGTGGCTGAAGCCCAGGGTTGGGGGGGGAGGGTGTAAAATCAGAGATCCTGAGAGAGAAGCCCTTAGGCCAAAGAAGTGTGTGGAGCAGGGGAGGAGCCCAAGGGAGATTTCCATGGGGGCAGTGTGTGCACACAGCCCAGGGTTGGGAACACAATGTGCAGGGGGCCTTTGGTGACTGTGTGGCTGTCTCCTTCCCTTTGGGATCTGCATGCCTGAGCCCCTGGCCTCCTGGAGCTGAACGAACACACCTGAGGATGGGGATGGGGAGAGCTTGGGAAGGAAACTCAGCTGGAAGTGGTTTAGGCCTCAGAGACCACATCCTGTCAGAGGAGCTGTCAAGGTGCCAGGCTGTCAGGGGGCCTGGACATCTGTCTGTCTGCCTCAGTCCTCAGAGCTGCTGGAGTGACAGTCCCCTAGGGGCAGAGATGGTCTTTGTCCTCCCGGGGAGGTGGCCTGGATGCTAGGAGGTGGGGTCAGTCCTGCCAGATCCAGGATCAGGAGGCCTCCGATGGGCGCCGTCCCCCCTCCTCCTCCATCAGCAGCAGGCGGCGCCGTCCAGCCTCATAATCAGCCTCGTCCACACTGACCAGCAGGCGGACAGCCTCCCGGCCTACAGCCTCGCGCAGGGCTTCAGTTAGGAACACGCCCCGAAGGGCCTGCAGCAGGGCACCACTCAGGTAGTCCCCCCAGAAGGCGTCCAGATAGGAGAGCTCGGAGAACTTGATGTCACACACCACAGAGCCCAGGTCTCGGGAACGGAGCACCGCAGTGGCCTGCCCGAACACATCTAGCTGCCGCGCCAGCGCCTGGGGCCGCCGAGATGCCACACCCTGCTCCAAGGCTGGCCCATGTTCGCAATACTCTGCTCGCACCCTGAGCCGGATGTCTGTGGATAAAGAGGGGCTGGTCAGCGAGGGGCTGACACTTAACACACTGCACAAGGGGACTGTCACCCCTCCTCCCTCACTTGAGCCTCCTCTGCAGGTTCCTCCCACTACCCTGTGGGTAGCATTGTACCTGACCCACATCCTTCCCACTTCTGGTAACCACACCCAAGTATGGGTGACACCCTCACATGGCTTCCCTCCTCTGGTCTGGCCTCAGTTACCTCCTGACCTGGCACCTTCCTCTTCCCCTCACGTGCCCCACTCCAGACTCACTACCTCCTTGCTGCTCCCACGCGCCCAACTGCCAGGCAGGTTCCGCCCAGCCATGTCTGTCAGCTGAGGATGCTCTATCCCCAGTCTCCACAGATCTTGTTCCCTCACTTCTCTTGGGTCTTTGCTTAAATGTCACCTTCCCAATGAGGCCTACAGCAACCATCCCATTTAAAACTTTATTAACACCACCTGGCCCCCAGCATTTCCAGTTCCCCATGCCCTGCTCCCTTTTTCCCCAAGGTGCTTACCACCTTCTCACCTATTCTATATTTTCCCTTCCTGTCACGCTTATCATCCATCTCCCCACAACGTGAGCTCCCTGAAGGACAGGTTTTTGTCTGTTTTGTTTACTCCTATAGCCCCGCAGCACACAGTAGGTGCTTTGTTCACTTGCACAGACCTGTGACACATAGGTGTTTTTTCACTTGTATAGTTCCGTGGCACACAGCAGCTGCTCAATATACATTTATGAATGACTTGCCTTAGACAACCAGTCTCACCCCTCTCCCGCCTTCAAATAGTGAGACTCATGTGGAGTCTACCAGATCCCCAGCCCCCCACCTACTAAGCAAGCACCAGACCCAGGACACTCAAGGCTGGACCTGGGTTGACTCTACTGGAACCAAGTGCTCTCTTTCCACAAAAGCTTAGGCTAAGATGGTGGGCTATTAGTCTGGAGCTGTTGGGGACCACTTTGCCCCAGCAGGGAGAAAATGAAGCCTACACAGGGCCAACAACAGAGAGGGAAAGACTCCTGAGCTCATGACATGAGGCACAAAGCACCTGGAGTTTCAGCTACACTTTCTTTTCTGCTTAAGACAGTCTGAGTTGAGTTCTGTCACTTACAACCCTGCCCTCATCCAGCCAAATGAGATGTCAGCTCTGTGTGGTGGACAGGGCATGAGATTTCTAAGGTTATCTTTATAAATGTGACCTTGGCCCTGGCTGGTTTGGCTCAGCGGTTAGCGTGTCAGCCCGATAACCAAAGAGTCCCGGGTTCGATTCCGGCCAAGGGCACATACCTCAGTTGCAGTTCATCCCTGGCCCGGGTTGGGGTTGTGTGGGTGATAGCCAATCAATGTGTCTCTCACACATCAATGTTTCTCTCTCTCTTCCTCCCTCTCTCCCTCCCACTCTATCTGAAGGTAAACAGAAAAATATCCTCAGGTGAGGATTTAAAAAAAAAAAGGTTATCCTTATAAATGTGACCTTGGGCCCTAGCTGGTGTGGCTCAGTGGTTACAGCATCAGCCAGAGCACTGAAGGGTCATGGTTCAATTCTTCGATTCCCAGTCAAGAGCATGTACCTGGGTGGCAGGTTTGACCCTCAGCCCTGGTCAATGCACATGTGGCAGGCAACCAATCGATGTGTCTGTGACATAGATGTTTTTCTCTCCTCCCCCCCCCTCCCTCCTCCTCTCTCAAAAAATATCAATGGAAAAAATATCCTCAGATAAGGATTAACAAAAAATATATAAAATAAAATAAATGTGACCTTAGGCATACCACCTCCCTTTGGGATTATTAATATGCACCTCTGAAATGGGGCTACTAATAGAACCTCCTCTTCATACAAGGCACAGGCTGTCCTGAGGATCTGCTATAAGCTATAAATAACAGCAACCCATACTACAGAGCACTATCTGCCAGGTGCTACTCCAAGTGCTAGGCTCCTATGAAGTCACTGAATCCACAAACAACCCTATGAGGCAGGCCCTATTATCACCCCACTGTACAGATGAGAAAATGAAGGCCAAGAAAAGTATGGTGACTTGTCCAAGGTCACACTGCCAGGCAGTGGCAGCATATGACAGAGGTTGCTGAACCCCCCATGCCCTAGATAGCAATTCCAGGTCATTGGAGCCAATTCCAATCCAGGCACTAGCTGTGTGACCTAGGACAAATCACCACCTCTCTGAGCCCAGGTTCCTGCCTAAACCAGGGGATAATCCCTGCTGTTAAGAGGATTAAAACGAGCAAAGAATAGAAAAAAACTAGCTGGCACAGTGCACACACGGTGTCCAATGGGTGCTCAAAGAACGGCAGCCTCCAACAGCTCTAATGTGCCAAATGCTTTACCTCTGGGGATTCAGTAGGATCAGCCCTATGGGGCAGGGGCCACACTCAATTCATATGACAGATGAGGAAACTGAAGCTCTGGGAAGGGAAGTGTCATATCCTGGATCCCTTCACCTTTCACAGACCATGTGAGCAGCACAGCAGAAAGTAGAAGGCAGGCCCCTTCTCCCCAAGATGACTTCTCAGCACCACCCACTTCCTCCTCCCACCCCAAACCCCAAACCCTTCCTCTTTCTGCCTCAAGGGGAACCTCACCCTCTCTGCTCAAGGCCCAGGGAAACCTGCCTTGCCTTAGCCCCCAGGAGCTCCCATGGCACTCAAGCCCAGCTCCCTCCATCCTAAGGCCCAGATTAAGATCTCTGGGCTCACATCCTTGACTCCTATGAATGTCTGACCATGCCCTCAATCAGCCTGGGCTGGGGATCAAGGGGACAGGGAGGAGCAGCACCTGTCCAAGACCACACGGGGCTGCTCAGAGGCAGAGGCACAGAGCCAGGTGGCTGAGTCCGACAGACCTTGAGGTGAGTCCCAGCTCTGCCACTCTCTAGCTGTGGGGCCTTGGGCATGTGACCTCACCTCTCTGAGCCTGTTTCCCCATCTGAAAAACATAAACAAGAGGTCCCTGCTACCCAGTAGGATCATGAGGATTAAATGAGGCAACTTGTGAAATGGTTGACCCGGGGGCCTACAACACAGAAGGCACTCAGAAACAGGAACTATGATTTTGACACACACCTCTAATGCCACAGCCCTACCCAGGCCTTGCCCTCTTGATTGGGCCCCTGAGCCAAACTTCTCCCTCATCTCCTACAATCTTAGCTATACCCTCCCATACCCTGTTCTCCAGTCACAAGTCCTCCCAGCACAAGCCTTACTCACACAAAAATGACCTACCAGCCCCCTCTGACTAGAACGGCCCCACTCTCCCACCATGTCCTGCCCAGGTGAATCCCTCCCAGATCACCTTTCTCTTCAACACAAATTGCTACTAGGCCTGGCGCATAAACTGTCATTCTATTCATCCAGAGCCCACCCCACAACATGGGGGGTGGTGTTTAGAAGAAGGACAGAACCAGGGTAGAGTTGTGTGTGTCTCATTCATTCTTTCATTCAACAGCTATTCACTGAGTGCCAGCAACATGGGAGTGACATGAGCATCCCACCACAGGTGGAACGGGAAGACATGTAACCCCCAGTTAGGAATCACTTGCCATTGGCCTGGCCCTGCCCAAGTCTTTTCCCTGTCTTAGACCCCCAGTCCTTATAGTACCTTCATTATCCCCACTTACAGAGGAGGAAATCTTTCATCAGACCACAGTCCAACCTTAGTCTGGAACACAAGAGGACCGCGCACAGAAACCATGCATTACCTGAACTGCCACTCCATCACTGGCCCTGGATCACAGCATTCATGCAATCTCCCCTTGACTCCTCATCAAAATAATTTAAAAACAATAGGTGACACCTCTACAGTAGTTACTGCACGCTGACACATACTTCACACCTATTGACCCTTTTGATCATCGCTGCAACCTTATAAAGCAGTGCTATTATCCCTTTTTTGCAGATGGGGAAACTGAGGCAGGGGAGATGAGTTACCTGCCCAAGGCCACAGAAACAGGAAGTGGCAGAGCTGGAATTCCAACTGAGGTGCCTGGCTGCAGAGCCCAGCTCTTAACTACCCCTATCCTGTTTACTGTCTCTCACAACCACACACAGAAACCTGTAATTAAAAGACATCCTGAGGATGAAGAGACAAAATTACAGACAACGAGGTATAATTTAGATTGAACTGATCAGAGAGGACCTCTCCAGGAAATGACATTGGAAGTGAAATGTGACTGAGGATAAGAAGGTTCAGATAGAAAAACAGGAGGCAACAGTAGCATTAGCATTCCCAGAAGAGAAGAAGGTAAGTGAAAATCCAAAGGTAGAAAATAAACTTGGGACATTCACAGACTGAGAGCCAATGTGGCTGGACCATGGTAGAGGAGAAGAGCACAAGGGGACAACTGGAGGCAGGGAACAAACCATGCCCTGGCAGGCCATGGCTGGGAGTCTGGGACCTCCCAAAGTGACCACAGCTCTCCGCACTTCAGTGGCCTCCTCAATGAGACACCCTCACCCCAGAACCTGCTTTCATGGGCCCTCTATGAGGATTACATGGCTAGATGCAGGTCAACAGCTGAGGCTATTGCCTGGCACTCGTTACGTCCTCCAAGTGCAACAGGGTGTCAGGGACAGGGCAGCAGTTGGGGAAAGCTGAAGGTGGCTGGCCCAGGATGGAAGGAGTACACACGTGGAGAGAAGTGGATGGGCTGGCCCAGGTGTGACAGTGAGGGGCGAGGCAGGAAAAGCACCCAACGTGCATGTGACCTGGGCTGGGGGCTGGCTGAGTTGTTTCCTGTGGTCTAGAACACCAAGACTTTGTCAACAGTCCCTCTCCAGTTGGGCAGCTGTAGAAAAATGCTCCCTGCCCCAAGGACAGAGGGTGGGGGTATGTCTTCCTAGAGAGGAGAGCTTTTCCTGTTTCCTACACTCAGGTGGGCCCCAGAACTCTCTGGTCCCCCAAACCCATGCAATACTGGTCTTTCTTCTGGGGCAGAGGAAAATGGGAGGGACTTCCCAGTGAGGGACCTCCAAGTGAG